TGTTTTTGATCATTTTACATCTTCAGGTGTGTAATTTTATAAGTTGTATAGCATTGTTATTGTTAGGGTAAATTACATTTATAGTCCCTAAGTTTAGCTTTTTTTTGGGTTTGGTCTCAAAAAGTTTTTTCATCTTGCATTTTTGGTCTTTAATTAGATGTTGCATATCAATTTTGGTCAATGTTCCATGTAAAATGACTATTTTATCCTTATAGCTAAACTTTTAATATGTATTATAGACTTATCGTTAATTTAATTGATATATTATGATTATATTAATTGTAATATATCATTTAAGTAATTGAAAGAAAAAGCTAAACGGAAAAATAGTCATTTTACATGGAACATGGACCAAAATCGTCATAAAACATTAAAATAAGGACCAAAACTGCAAGACAAAAACATTTTGAGACCAAAACTGGAAAATCAGCTAAACTTATGGACCAAAAATGTAATTTACTTTTGGCTTAATCTCATAAAAGACCTTATATTTTTGGTTTTTTCTGCAATAATCCTCAAATTTATTTTTTGTCTGAAAAAGACCTTGTATTTTTCATTTTTTCCTATCTGGCCCTTTTAGTCATTTTCTTCAAAAAAAAAATTGTAAAACGTGAGGGTTTTTTCGAGAAAAACTAAAAAAGCTGAGGGTTTATTTGGAAGCATTTAAAAGGTTGAGGGGTTCTTTCGGAAAAAAAATAAAAGTTCAAGGGATTTTTTGAAAAAATGAATAAATACAAAGTCAAAAAACACTAAATAAAAGGTCTTTTACGAGATTAACCCTTTACTTTTATGATTATATTATTATTATTATTCGAGAAATTACAAATTTGATCCTTGAGCTTAGCACTTTTTTTGGTTTTTGGTCTCCCAAAAGAATCAGTTTACAGTTTTGATTATTATTTGAGGCTTTTGTTACACTTTTGTTCCTTGTTCCATGTAAAATGACGATATTACCCTTTTTTTTGAAACAGGCAAAGAGAAGAACTTTGTATACAGTCACTTGCATGTGGCTGGTTATGAGGCTTATCCTAAGCCTGTAGGAATTGGTTTTGGAGGATCAAATGGAAACGAGAGAATTTTTTTGGATGAAGACTTTTCAAAGCTTATTGTGCGCCATCATGCGTATGATAAAACCTACCACCCTGGTTCCCTTTTTCCAAATCAGGTAAAATGACGATATTACCCTTTATCCATCCCTTGTCTATTGCTGATTCACAAGAATAAGTTTCCCTTTTCGACATTTATTTTCTTTATAAGAAAAAAAAAACTCATAAGCACCAATTTTGACTTGTTTGAATGAAGAGGGCATTTATGTCTTTTCAAAGGAATCACTATCCCAAAAAACCATAAACAAAAAAACCGAAATGTTGTTTTAAGTTTTTGTTACTTTAATAAAAAAAAAAAAAGAGTAAATCACATGAATGGTCCTTGTGGTTTGGGGTAATTTGCGTGTTTGGTCTCTAACTTTTTTTTTTAACCTGGACCATCCTTATAGTTTTGTTTTGTTTCGAGTTTGGCCCCTTCTTCACCTGAAATGACTATATTATCCTTATCGGTTTTTTTTTTGTGGGAATGTATTAATTTAACTCTAAATAATAATAATAATAATAATAATAATATAACTCTAAATAATAAAAAGGTATTAAATAAACTTAAAAAATATCATCAAGGGTAAAATAGTCATTTTATCTCAATAAGGGACCAAAACCGAAACAAAAACTAATTATCGGGACCGTCCGAGTTAGAAAAAAAAAGTTAGGGACCAACCATGCAATTTACCACAAACCACAGGGACCATTTGTGTAATTTACCCAAAAAAAAAGGATCAGTTTGGTTTTTTTGTTATATAAATGTAAAGTTAATGCTTTAACTAATTATTTAATATAATTGATAATTGATCAATTAAAGATTTATATTTACTTGATGTAAATTTAGTACTTCAATTAATTAATTATGTAGTCTATTTGCAACTCGGTTTTCAATTTTTCATGATGAGTTATTTACATAAATATTTCCATTGAAAAAGTGTTCATTATCTACATAACTTTGTACTCTTTCTTAGTATCTTTTTAAATTAGTACTGTGTATTTCATTGATTAAAACTAAAGAAACAAAAATAAAAATAAAAATAAAAATTTAAACCATTCTTGTAGGGTTACTTGCCTACAGAAGCTCAAGTTTTGGATGTGGAAGTATGGGGATTAGGGGGCAAAAAAGTAAAAGAAGTTCAAAATTCATTCCTGAAAAGAGAACAATTATTCACAGAACAAAGGCGGAAGGTAAAATCTCAAAGACCTTTTTTTTTTTTTTTTAATTCATTAAATTGTTACTAACTTTTTTTTATTTTTTAAAATTTTAGATTGACTTGAAGACTTTCACAAATTGGGAAGACTCACCCGAGAAGATGATGATGGACATGGTGTCAAATCCTAGTGCTGTTCAGCGTGAAAAAAGATAATTTTTATATGTGGTTTTACTTTAGTTCATATGAGGTATATATCAATATTGGTGCTTAAATTTGTAGCATATTTAAATAATATAATGTTGATAATAATTTGTTTTTATTGTGTGAAAATAATTTGTTTTAGGATTGGAACAATGGAATAAAGGGTTTCGGGTGTGGTGTCTATAGAGAGACATTGATCGGCTTGTTTTGGAGTCTTGGAGATGATATCATTTATGTGTATATATTTGTACAATATATAATGGAATTGTGCAACTAAACAATTGTTTTTGTATTTATTGGGGTAGAATATTATTCCAAACACCAATTTTTGCAATAGATATAATGTTTGGTGCAAAAAGTAATTATCTCTAACCTAGTAGTACATCAAATTTTACATCAAAGGGAATATTCCAAATATATACTTTTTTCTCAACTTATATATATGTTAAAATATTTCAATAAGTACTGGTTTTAATAAATTCATTTTATATCTATTTGGTTATAATCATTGTTGTTAAGATCTAGATTTTGATATTAGAATCTTATGACCTTAAGATTCGGGGATATTAGGTCTTGACTCGAGAACGTAAGATTTTATTTGAAATATGATCCCACCTCTATAGCTCTTAAAAACCTTTGTTTATTCATACTTTAAAACCTTGTGTATAACTTAGAAAATGTCGATTTAACTTGAAATTGGGCTTCAAAATTTATCCATTCAACTCAAAATAAAGCATTGTAGATTACATGAAGCCACATAATTCATCAAAACTACATCCATCCATCTCATATTACACAAAGCAACATTATACGTATGTTAGTCATGTGACTTTATACCTTATTTTGTATTTGGTCACGAGGTTCTTTTTCTTTTTCTTTTAATTAAGATGTTCTCTACCTAATTGTTGTGTTATATCTATAAGAAGTATGGTTACTATTTAAGAAGATAAGATTGATTCGAACATCAATGTCTTGATGAACCTCAAGGTATGGATACCAGTTCATTTTGTGAGAAACTTCTAATAATTGTGATGTTATAATCAAACTCTTACAATCAAGATCTTACAAAGCGATCATAAGTACATGATATTACAACCTTTGTTGCAATACTTTATAAATTATATTATTAAACAGTTATAACCAAATAAATCATCTCATATATATAATAATATTAAAAATAACAAATGTTACATATAAAATATTAATATATAATTAAATTAATTACACGCGCCCTCATTGATTCTATATTGACCTCTGACATGGCTAATGCTACGGTTTGGACTCGTCTCGTACCTCTCAAGGTCATGTTTTTTATTTGGCGGGTTTGTATCAATCGTATACCTACAGCGGTGGAGCGTTCTTGGAGGGGCATTTTGGTCAATTTTAACTCCTGTCAGTTTTGTTTTATCGGCAATGACAAAGCTGACCATTTTGTTTTTGGGTTGTCAGTTTGCTAAAGAGGTTTTGTCTTGGCTGCTTAGGTGGTGCAACATAAGTTTTCCTCAATTTTCCAAGGTAGAGGAGATTGTTGATTTTGTGGCTAATTGGGGTCGGTGTCCCAAAAAAGGTCACATTCTTTTGGCTATAATTTACGGTTTTATATGGAACATTTGGAAGACGAGAAATGACAAAAGTTTCAAGAATGTCTCGATCTCAGCCAACTTGCTTGCGAATAACATTTTTTCTATGGTGTTCGAATGGGTCAAGTATAGGGGTAATTTTGTCAATTGTAATTGGACAGGTTGGTGTTGTGCTCCGTTTAATGTTTTGTAATTCTTTGTTCCCTTTTGTTTCTTTTGCCCCACCTTGTTTCCTTTATAGGTGTTGAGTTTAATAAATTCCCGCCGGTTAAAAAAAAAAGCTATCTAAGTTTAAACCGTAATAATTAAGTTATTGTATTCTTATTTTTGTTTGTATTCAAGTTTTCATATGTTTACAAATGATTTTTTTGACTTAATTGACCATCCAAGTTATAAAAACATCACAATTTAACCATCTAAATGGTAACGATTATGTATCATTGTATCTTGTATATTCAATTAAGTCAAAAGTCTTGTATCTTGTATATTCAATTAAGTCAAAAGTCTTGTATCTTCTAGAAACATCAGAATAGCATGTCACGAGGGAAATAAAACAAAATAAGAGTTCAATGACCTAATTATCACATTTTAAATTTAAATGGCTAAATGGTAACATTCTTAAAACTTTAATGATTGAATTAAATCAAAACTCCTTAAAACAATTAAAAAAAAAATGGGATTTGGTTTTGGGTGGTGTTGTAATTGGAATTTGGAAGCTTAGAACATCATCTTTTGATCAAGTTTTAGCAAAACCTTCCAAGGTTATCTTATTAACTTTTTATATGAGCATATTTTTCAATAAACGGATTAAACACTTTGCTTGCCTTAAAAGCAAACCTATAGTTAATCGAAAAAAATATATATTTTATAAGCTTTAAGAGCTAAATTACAAGAAAATAACTATGTCCAACTAGTAAGTTTGTGAAAATAAACGTTTTGCAGAGTGTTCCACTATGAGAAATCATAAAAATCTCAAATTCTATTATCTCAAAAATCCATAAATTAACCAAATATTTTCCACCAATCAAAAACAAAAAATGACATGTAACTTAGTTTACAAACAAACAAACCCCCCCAAAAAAAAGAATAATAATAATAAAATAAAAAGATATCTTGCAAGACTAACTGACAATCAACGCAGATGTAAGATCTCGAACTTTTAAGTCTGCCATTTCCTCTCTGTTACAAACACATCACATAATCAGCACATGAACACATTAAGTCAAAAACAAACAACCCTAATTTTATTATTAATTAATAATTAATATTACCTCGGCTTTCATTTCCCTTTGTAGTCTGTTGACCTTGTTGACTCTGAGGTGAAGACCTTTTCAAACGAGGCGAATCATGCCTACTATTCACAGCACCAGGCATCGAATGTCTCTTTTTCAAATACGCATCTTTCTCTTTCTCTTTAACATCTGGACTTAACCTTGGAGAGCTATTAAGAGCTTTTGCTCTTGCTGACTCAGTCACTTGCATATAACTCGGTATATAATTACTATTACTATTACTATTACTATAACTACTATCCCTCGCTTCCTGATGATCAATCTCCGAGCTTTGTGACCCAAAAGAATTCCTTCGTTTTCCACTTTTACCCTCCTTCGGTAAATTCTCCAAATTACCCCTCGAAATCGGAGACATTAGTTTCTTGCTATTCGACCACATCTTCGGTTTTTCTTTTTCTTTTTCTTTTTCACTCGATGCTTTTCTCTCACTTCGAGGTTTAACATCACTCGATGATTTTCTTTCACTCGAAGGTGTTCGTTCTAACTCCGGTTCGAGGGGCGATTTTGTAATTTGGTTGATAATGATATTGTTTGTTTCGGGTGGAATTGTGATGGAGTGAGTCAACTCGGTGCCTAGAAGATCGTGAGTTGACTCGGTGGTTTCGATGTTTTCGGATTCCGATGGATCGGGTGAGTCGAGCATGGAGGTGACCGAGAGTTCGGTTCCACATTCTGAGCCGGCGGTTCGAACCACTTTTAAGCTTTCGTAAACCGGCGGTGCAGCGGTTTTGGGCGCCGCCGGTGGTGGTGGTGGTTCGGTGGTGGTTTTGGAAGTCAACTCTTCGAACTTTGACTGGGCGGCGATGAATGATGGATTGATTGTTTTTCTTGATCCGAATACGGACTTTCTTCCTTCGGAATCGGCTTGTTCGGTTGCCGCCCTTTTTGCCGGACGTTTGGGCGGCTCAGCCTCGGATACGGGTGGAGTGGGGGCGGTGGTCAAAGGTTTGACTTCGGGGGAAGAAACGGGGGATGAAAAGGACGTCCATCTTTGTAGCCATTTCCATGTGGGATCTTCTTCTTGGGTTTGATGGATCACATTTGATGTTGATTTGTTTGGTTCGTGGTGTGGATTGGATTAGCTTTTTAGAGAGATAAGATTTGTTTAAGTCTTGTGTTTGATTGAGTAAAGGGTAAAATAGTCAATATAAAAAATGTATGGGGAGATGAAAAGGGATAATACCTGGTTTGCGAATCTGTTACTTAGAAGCTTCTCGATGGAGATATAAGTTGGGTGTGGTTTTGTATTGGATTCTTGTATTCCCTAAAAAAAATGAATTCCATTCTTTCTTGTTTAAGTAAATGACCAAAATACCCTTAATTAAAAACAAAAAATCAAGTATCTACAAGAAATGGAAAAAAGAAATTATTTTTTTATAAGGATTTTATACAGAAAAGTCCTATTGTTTTGGGAAAATTTTTAATAAAGTCATAAATGTTTTTTTTGAACAAAAAAGTTTGATTATTTAATATTTTGCCCAAATTAACGAAAAAGTCTTTATTTTTATTTTAACAGGAAATGACAGATTATTGTATAAAGTTAAATATTTGAGGCTTTCTATTCAAAAAAAAAATTAAGAGTTAATCAAAAAAATTCCCAAAATAATGAGATTTTTCTACATAAAAGACCTTATATTTTGTGTTTTTTCCAGATTAAACCTTAAATTTATTTTTTGCCTGAAAAAGACCTTGCATTTTTTCATTTTTTCCAAATAATCCCCCTCAACTTTGTATTTTTCCGGAAAAAAACCTCAACTTTCTTAGATGCTTCCAAATAAACCCTCAATTTTTTTAGTTTTTCTCAAAAAAAACCCTCACATTTTACAACTTTTTTGGGAAAAAAATGACTAAAAGGGCGAGATCGAAAAAAATGCAAAAATACAAGGTCTTTTTCAAAATAAATTCGAGGTTTAATCCGGAAAAAACACAAAATATAATATCTTTTTTGAGATTAACCCTAAAAAAATTACTCAAAAACATCATAGAAAATGAAGGAAATGAGCTTAAGGTTTTCATATTAATTCATATTATCATATCATTAAATAAGGTATCAATTTAAACGATGGGACTACAGACTACATGTAAACGAGTCATACTCATAACTAAGGGTAAATGAGTCATTTTAGGTAATACCTTTTCTCCAATAGATAATCTTTTAATAGATATTTTAGAATGACGAGCACGAACAAGAGTTTGCATTTTAACAATTGCTTGAATGCAACGCAAAGTTCCAGCAGCACGACAACGAACCAAATGCCCTCGAACAACAGCTTGAAATTTCACCACATTTTTATGCCTCAAAACTTCTCTTTCAGCCTAAATAAATATTACAATAAACCATAATTAATAAAAAAAATTAAAAAGATATTATCTTTATCCAATAAGACATCATTTTTACAATTGGGAAATTGTCAAAAAAAAGTCTCAATATTTTCAGAAAAGTTACAGTTTAGTCCCAAGATTTTTTTTTAACATAAAAGTAACATGATAATATGTCATTTCCTGCTAAAAGAAAAAAAAATGACTTTTTTGTAAATTTGAGCCAAAATGAAATAATCAAGACTTTTATGTTCAAAAAAAATCTTGGGACTAAAGTGTAACTTTTCCGAAAATATTGGGACTTTTCTGACAATTTCCTTTTTACAATTCTACCCTTTATAACCGAAGAATTGGCAAATTCTCTCTCCTGCGTCCATTTTTCCAGATTAACTCTCAACTTTATTTTCTTTTCCTAAAAACAACCTTTTATTTTTTCATTTTTTATATGGGCCTTTTAATCATTTTTTCCCCCAAAAAACTTGTGAAATGTGAGCGTTTTTTTGGAAAAACTAAAAAAATTGAGGTTTTTTTCGGAAATAGTTAGAAGGTTGAGGGTTTTTCCAGAAAAAAACACAAAGTTGAGGGTTTTTCCGAACACAAAGTTGAGGGATTTTACGGAAAAAATAAAAAGATATAAGGTAAAAAAATAAAGTTGAGGTTTAATCCAGAAGAAACACAAAATATAATGTCTTTTATGAGATTAATCCTTTTGTCTAGAGGTAATGATGAATAATAATAAATTAATAATTAACTATTTATTTGAAAAACGTTATAAATTGATATTGTAAATTTATTTATTTTTTCAAAAGTTTTTATTGGAGATTTGGGGTCGTTTACAATATATTGTGTATGATGGTTTTCAAATAAGTAGTCGATTATTATTCATCATTACTTCTAGACATAAGGGTAAAATGGTCATTTTTATTAGATTGATATTGTAGATTTATTTATTTTTTCAAAAGTTTTTATTGGAGATTTGGGGTCGTTGACAGTATCAATTCATCATTACAAAAGGGTAAAATGGTCATTTTTTCATGTTCATTTTATCCATGTGGGAAACATTGTTATTACACATATGTAGAAGTAAATACATACCAAGAATTTTCTAACAGCAGTTTGGATGATAATGATGGATGATTCATCAGGACTTGAGTCAAATTTAATTTCATCTTCATCAACAGCTTTTGTCACCAAATTGGTCACCACATTGTCCTTGGTATTCGAAGTTGAAACCCTAGAAAATTCTTCTGTTTCTGTCCATTGATTTGTAGAAGTTTTCTCACTGATGATTGCTTCTGAGCTGATAATAACAGGTTCTGAGCTCTTTTTATCATCAGAAGAAGGTATTTCTGTTATTACATTTACAGTGTTGCTTAACACTCGATGCCCTGATGATTTTTTGCGAAAACTCCATCCTCTTTTATCGTTGGTTACTTTATTCTGAAGTATGTTCATAAAAGGTCACTAAGTTAATAGATACATTATACACATAAATTCAATTAAGTTGTAGTATATATATGGTTTTGACATTAAATTTCATTAAGTTGAAATCAATAACTAAATCAAAGTTGAAAAAATGAAGATTCTTTATGAAAAACATTACTTTGGACAAAACAAGGAAAATCTTGACACCAATATTACATTGTTTCAGATCGACTTATGAGAATCTCAATCCCCTTTCGAATATTCTCCAAGAACTCAAATCAGTGAAAATTCTAAGTTTCAAGCATCGTTAGTCAATTAGATTTGAGTTTAGCACTTTTTGAACATAATTCAACTTCAATTAATCAATTATCACCAAACATAGCATCATGAAACCCAAACACACGCATCAAGAATCTTTCTGAGTTCCTTTTTTCTCTAAAACCAAATACCATAGCTTAATTTCGCCAGAATCAACTATCATGCACAAATCATAATCGCAAACCCTCGATTGGCGAAGTAGATACTATTCGCACGAAACATTACCAAAAAAAGACATTTTTGCTCAGTGATCCATCATTTCCGATTTATCGGAAACACGCTGAATTTCAAGTTCTCTATAAAGAATATCGAGATATGACATAAAATAGAAGGAAATACCTCCGAAGAAGCATCGAGGTCGTCTCTATCGACAGATTCAGAGCTGCCGCCACAAGCAATGATTTTGAAGCAATATCCGCTAGATCTTCCCATGTTTCAAGCTGTATGTGGTTCAATCGGGAAACGAATAGTTGGAACTATTTTATATGCCTTTTTATCCGCTCACATTTCACAGTGTCGCCATTGTTGGGACTTGCACACTCAGCAAGTGGAGAGTGAGAGTGAGAGTGAGCTTGGGTGTGTAAGGTATAAGTCGGACCTAGACATGCTCCTTAAATTTAGTTAAATTTGTGTTTCAATTCCGCCCTTTATTTGCCGTTCCGTTTCTTTTGTTTGCAACGGGAAAATAATTTGTTTATTGGGAAGGAAATAAAATCGAAAAGTATGAAATAGAGTAATGAGTAAATTATACGAACGGTCCTTTGGGTAATTTATATGTTTTGTTTCTAATTTATTTTTTTAATTCGGAAGGTTTTTACAGTTTGTTTTTGTTGCACGTTTGGTCCATGTCTTGTCTAAAAAGCCTATTTTGTTCTTAATTTTTTAATTTATTTAAATAAACACACCCCAACCTCACCTTATTTTACCTTACCTATCACACATTATTTAAATAAATTAAAAAATCAAGGGTAAAATAGTCTTTTTAGGTAAGACAGGAACCAAACGTGCAACAAAAACAAATTGTAGAGACCTTCCGCGTTAAAAAAAATAAATTACGGACCAAACATGCAAATTATCCCAAACCATAGGGACCATTCGTGTAATTTACTTTAGAGTAAATTATACTATGTTTCTTCTGGTTTGGTTTGGGGTATTTTGTGTGTTTGGTCCCTAAGTTTTTTTTTTTAATTCGGATCATCCTTACAGTCTATTTTTGTAAAACATTTAGTCCCTGACCGACTTAAAAAGACTATATTGCCCTTATTGAGATATTTTTTTCTTTTCTTTAATATTTATTATTTATGAATTTGTTTTATTATGATAAAATTATCATAATAAATATACAGAGACATTTCTTCCCAATCGCCTGTTTTAGAATGTCTTTGTTATTAAATATACAGAGACATTCAATCTTTTGATTGAGGTCTACCATTTGTGATAGAATATCTTTATTAACATCAACTAGACATACTGTTAGAGGGGGCATACCGTAAAAATGTTAACATGAAACTTAGCTTTACGTTTATCACCCAACTCATATCCATCAAAATTGCTTTCTAAGTCGGTTATATCTAAAGCTACATCACCAACATCAACAAAATCTTCGTAACCATGTAGATTTTCATCTTTCTGAATCATAACTTTTTTTCTTTTTACTATTATCTACTTCACTCCTATTCATAACTTTAACTTCTTGTTGGGGAACGTCAACATAACAACCACCCACATCATTAAGATATGTACCAACATCATTATCACCAACATACTTGTAATTTCCAGGATCCACATAGTGAATATGTGAATACCTCACATTAACATTTTCAGCAACACTATGAAACTGAGGTACACTAGAAGTCATGAATGTACCTCTTGGGTTGTTGCTCCTTTTATCGCTGCATAAGTTAGCAACCGACTTATTTCTTCTCTCGCCACCCTCCGTAACCACATCACCTTCATTAGCCACCACAAACACTTTTCACAGCCTTTCCTCCAACTGACTTGATTATGTTGATCAACATTTAACATCAATGTCTTCAGTTATGGCTATATAATGATTCACTTCATGATGATGGAAAAAAAAGACTAATTTTATATCTATCTAATAAACCGGTTTTCATTTTCACCAAAGATATAAAATCCCTATAACTAATATACTCGGAAAATATCAAAGCGAATTCAAAAATACCTCCCTGTGGACATACATATTCAAAATTTGTTTCCACAACTTTCTACCTCCCACCGGTTACAACGCAAACTAAATATTCATTCATTTTATTAGAGAGGATTAAAACAAATTTTTCAAAGAAATAGCAACTAAAGTGATAATTTTTTGCAATACTTATATATAATATGGTTGTTTCCTAGTCAAACCCTATCAATTTCGTACTCAAAATAAAATAAAATTTTAAAATCACAAATGAACTTCAGAGGAAATCGCATCGCAGATGAACTAAGTTCATCTGCGATTTTAGTGAGTTGTAAGGCTATTTATACTAGAAAAAAATTAAACCATTTGTGAATGTACAAGTTGCTAAAGCATATATGTGCTTTAACGACTTATACATTCCCAAATGGTTGGGGGAAATCGCAGATCAACTTAATCCATCTGCGATTTTGATGACTATTTTTGTAATTTGGGTTTTTTGGCTATTTTTTACAAAGTAATTAAGGAAAATGACTAATTTTATAATTTTCTCATTTTTTTAATAGTTAATGGTCCCCGATTAATCCTCTCCTAGCCAGTTAATCCCTTAACCTTAATCCACCGACTAGCTAACGCCGAACGTTTTTTTATAACCTTGGTTTTACCAAAATAACTTTTTGTTCTTGTACTACATTTTCGTACACCAAATCCAATCTAGAATGCATATGTTTGAAAGTAATCGTAAAGTTCGTTTTTTGAAGCACACATCAATCCATCTTTAGGAATGTTTTCATCCTATGATTAAGAATTGTATACCCTTCAACTGAATTTGCAGCCTCTTCAAACGAATTTGCAGCCTCCATACTAATCAAATACTTTATTAACAATAAATCAAATTTTATTAACAATAAATCAGTCAAATTAAAGATTTTAGCATGAATGAAAGAGAAATTACCTTATCCATGTTGCTCCTTTAGATACATGATTTAGAATTAGATGAGAATTGAAGGTGGCGTCGTTATGGTGGTGTTGGTGCTAGCAGTAGCAGGTGTGCAACGAGAAAGAAGGGTTGGAGAGGCAATCAGGATATACAGGATACGCATGAAGAACACGTACTAATCGATATTACATGATACGTAATTTTTTTTCTTTTTTTTTTCTTTTTTAATTATCTCGTTAAAGGTATATTAGGGATATCGAATAAAATTAAATTGAATGGTGGAATGATGACACTTATCATAATTTTAGTAGGTATGAATATTTATAGGCATAAAATATATATATATATATATATATATATATATATATATATATATATATATATACACACACACACAAACACATACACTGATACACACACACATACTAGGTTAGAGACCTGTGGAAACCGCGCGTTTATTAGATAGACAATTAAAATAGATTGATAAAATAAAAAATAAATAAATAACTCAGTTCCAAACTATATTGAAGTACGATTGTCAATATAAGATAATATTGTACTTTGATAAATGGGACTTAAATGATATATAATTTTATTTTGTTTTTTTTAGCAAAAGATAGTTAAGATGATTGTAAGATACTATGATCCAAAAAAAGAAAAAAAAAGTTACGATCTTTTGATGAAAGGAAAGAAATTAAAAACATCCAATAGATCTAAAAAATAATCAGTTACTTCAACAAATATTTTTATATGATTTGTGTAGAATTATGTCTTCCAAATGTAGTAAGAGATCAATACTTCAAAGACTTAAGTTGTAACTTTGGACTTAGTGGCTCAAAATATGTGAACTTTTTTTTGGTGGTGGACGATGTTTAAGATACAAAAAGAAAATATTATATTTATTTATAAGAGATAGAGTACGTAAAAGATAATAATTAAAGATTTCAAAATTTAAATCCAGATTTGACTTTTAAAATTTAAATATGAATATTGATATTTATATTTTTTAAAGTATTAAATGTTAATACTTTTTTAAGGATGCTAAATGATATCTTTAGAATCATATTATAAAAAAGGACCAAGTGGCGATTAATGAATATATATATATATATATATATATATATATATATATATATATATATATATATATATATATATATATACTAGCAGTATACCCGTGCAATGCATCGGGATATAATTTTCTACAGTAATTGGTTGGTTCCATCGATGTATTATTTCCTTCTGAAACTCAACCTCGAAAGGTATTATCTATAGATTTTATGGTTTTCTTGTGTCGTTACAAGATATAATAAGTACTAATAATGAAAAGTAAATAGATTTTATGATTTCTTGCATTATGGACATCATTAGATTATTAATTTTCAAGTTTGTAAGTGGCCCATCATAATCATATGACATCTTATTACAACTTTTGGCATTGTAATATGGTTAATTTTTGAAAAATCAAAGGCAGTTGAATTATTATAATTTACTAAAAGCTTGATTTTAACTTGTACAATGACTTTCAAATAGGAAAACTCATACTATGACAATAACAATCGTTTAAATAACGTTGATCCCTGATAAAAAACTTTCAAATGAATGTTTTTTCACTAATTAAAGTTTTCGTGTTCAAATATATTTGGTAACCAATAGGGCGCATTATAAATGCAACCGCTTCCATATACAGTAAAAAAAACCTACAAGATATAACCAAATTTCATTCATAATCATTTCACGTCACAATATGCTATAAACTAATAGATGGGCAACAACCATGACCTCCAAATAATTCCTCCTATTTGAATCATCAATGCTACTTTTTCCTGAAAGATGTAAAAGATTCTATTTATCATTGAAAGTAACATCATATGGTCTAAATTTAGTATACATATACCACACAAAATCATCAATTAGAAGGAAAATAGATAAACTGATTTATACAAAATGACATGGAGGCTTTCTGATTTATACAAAATGACATGGAGGCTTTCTATCATATGTTTAGCAATGGATTTCAGTTAGTTATGGTATTAGAGGAATACTTATTTCATTTTTTTATTTGCAGTTTCTGATCATTTGATCCACCTAAAATTATACATGTTGAGTATGAGAAAGTCACATACTCTAGTTAAATGTAACTAATTATAGTCTACACACTCATGCATATCATAACCACTCACCTTTGTTTTGTTTGTGGTTTCTTTTTGTGACTGCATCATACACTAACATAAGAGGAGAAAAAAGTATTTATTATTTTTGTCCTTCAATATTTTTATGAACATCATGAGATTGAGGAGAAAAATATATTTACCATTTTGGCCAAACATATTTTTAAGAATATCATGAATAATAACAAGAGGGATCAAACAAACTTACCAATATCCAAATGCTTCTCCACGTTCACCGGTAGCATGAACTTACTTTTGCATATGATGCAAAAACTTAGTCCTATAATATCACAAAAAATAGATATTAAAGTGTCCAACTATCTCCTCTTTTAAACACTCAAACCATCAGGATTGATGGCTTTAGCGGCAACTGTAAAGGTAAAGGCGACAAATGGTGAGATGATGGTTTGATTTTCATGAGAAGATTTATAGAAGATACCGGAATTCGGGATATTAATTGTACTTGAAAAGAAAATTCATTATTCCAAATTTGAATTCAAATAAACAGAGGGTCCGATTTTAGATACACAATTAAGAATTATTAGTTTGTTCATGCACAATAGGGTTTTTATGTTTAATAATTTAGACTATTCCATTTTATAGCTTAACCAACCGTTACATAAAGTGGAGAAATAAATAAAATAACAATTTTTATTCAAAATTCTATAATTAATTCCACAATTTAAAGGATTCGGTTTTTTAGTTAGTGATTAGTTGTTGGCAAGATTAGGGGAATAGACTCTTTTAAAACTTAAGATTTAGGAGAGTCTATTTATGCATTTTCTAATTGTACGATATGCTTTAAAATTTATACTTCTTAATTTTCAAGAATTGGCTAATATGCTTAATATATATATATATATATATATATATATATATATATATATATATATATATATATATATATATATATATATCTATATATATATATATATATATTGGCTTTGGCAATTGTTATGTGATTGAATCATTCTATCATCGATTTAAAAATATATTAATAATAAAGAAAGAAAGAAAGCCATTTACGAGAGACAAGCAAAACAGGAGAATACAAAATATACGCAAGTGTGGTGAAGAAAGAAAGCATATTACAGGAAGAATTAATTAATGAGAAAGAAAATAGAGGGTATTTTTGTCAAAAGCTTTTTTGTTCTATTGTGTTCCAGTCTTTTGAGTGGGACTAAAATTCTTGTATTTAGTCTCATTTGACTTGGTTAATAACCACTTTTGTTCATATTCCATCCTCACCGAAGCCCTTTGTAGAATCCTGTTGCATCCAGTCTAGTCTTGTTCCACCCACCAAAAGCTACCTAAAAGATTTTTGTTTAGGCTGTGTTTGGCGTGTAGCTTATTTTTTGAGCTTTTTTATGTTGTCGTGTTTGGCAAACCAAAAAGTAGCTTATAAGTTAGCTTATAAGCTAGCGTTTTGAAAAGTTACTTAGACTAGCTTTTTTAAAATTTTCCAAATATACCCCTTAATTAATTATAGAAAAAAAATACTCTTAAATGTCATTTTATATAATTTTATATATTTCAGCTAGTTTTACCAAACATCATTTTTATAGAGCTGACAAAAATCGATCCAACCTGCCAACCCAACCCAAAATTAGCGGGTTGAGTTGATATTTTCAACCCATTTAACTTAAATGGGTCAACCCATGTAACCCATTTAATTAAATAGGTTGGGTTGAGTAAAAATTATCAACCCGTTTTCAACCCGTCAACCATTTAACTTTAATATATATATATATATATAATATATATATATATATATATATATATTTCATTTAATAATTATGTAAATATTATCATGTATTAGTCAAAGTATTAATTTGTAGATTATAATATTGCGTTATTATTATCTATGTTTAATAAAATTCAATCCTAATTTCCATCATTTTTAGCGCCGATAATGATGGTTACTCTCCAAAATCACTATGAAACTAAACATTTTTAATGTTATTTGAACAATTTATTTGTATTTATGAATTAGGATTATGCTTTTGTCATAATTGTGAAGTTTTATTTACGTTTTATAATTTAAGTGATATAATATTTAATTATATAATTTATTTAATTGATTTTAAATGGGTTAACCCAAGTTTAACCCATTTATTTAATAGGTTGGGTCGGAAACTACATAAACAGGTCAACCCAGTGACAACCCATTTATCTAAAAGGTTGAGTTGGGTTGGAAATATCAACCCATTTAAATAAACAGGTTGGGTTGGGTTGAAATTTTCAACCCAATTATTAAAAGGGTTGAACCCGGACCCAACCTAGGTCGACCCATTGCCACCTCTAATTTTTTATCAGCTAGCTTTTCAGCTATCAGCTAGCTTTTTATTTAACAGCTAGCTTTTCAGCTATCAACTAGCTTTTCAGCTAACAGCTAACTTTTCAGCTAGTACGTCAAACATAGCCTTAAAGTTATCTCAATTTTTCCCTATACAAAAGATATTTCAACGAGGTCCAGATAAGGTGATGACACAATGTAGGTTCCTCTTGTTACGCCTTGTTGAGGTTCTACTTCTTAAAGGCATCAAGGCCTCTTCATCAAACTTATCTTCATACACGTAAGTGTTGCCAGAGATAAGTTCATCATATCCAAGATCCTCATCATCAACGTGCACCATGTTCCCGTAATCAGAGAAAGAAGTTTTAATTTGTTGGACGTCTTCTTTGTAGATAACATGTGCCCCAGTTGCTACAGATTGTGTGCCATCTGTCAAGCTTATAGTCATCTTAAGATTACCTTGGATATGAGACCAATCTTGAGGTTGAAGATCATGATACATTTTCTGAAAGAAACCCAACGGCATATAGCTAATCCATACATTCCCCCCATTCTCAGTTGTTTCTATTTCCTTGATATGGTTAACCTCTGACTTAAGAATAATATTTCCATCATTTACAAGTTTGAAGATGATGCGAGGACAAACATATCCCCAACCCCATTTAGAAAACACACCACATACCAGGAAACCCATGATTTTAATATGCCATTTGTGAGGTAACTTTAATCCTATTCTGCACCCATCCTTTTTTTCTTTGAACCAGCTTGGGATCTTGCTTCCAGGAATAGATATACTTAAACGATGATTTACAGCAGCACAACTCTGAAATAAACCAAAACATCATTATTACATTGTTTATTTCTTGAATAAATATAATGGTTGCTTCCCCGACATGGGAGCCGAAGGCCCATTTATTACACAGAACATAACATGTCCTAATTCATTTGGGCTTGTACTTTGACTTTGACTGATGTTAAGTGTACAAATATTGTAATTTTTTGTCCCACCCAAGAAAAAGTTTGGAGTCCAATCTCTTGTGAATGCAAAATACATGAATGACCTATTCCGCATTGAAAATAGCCATGAATAAATTAAATGCCCTAAATACATTAAATGGGATAAGATAAATAGAGATGAACTACCTTAATGAAAGATAGATGCAACATTTTATCAAGGTATCTTTGATTCTCTTCATCTTCTAGGAGTTTATGGCAATTAATTAGCCATATCTTATACAACCATTCACTATCTTTTAATACATCTCCAATCTTTTTCAAGGAGATACAATCATTTGCCTTCAATACTTGTATGCTTGGCGGAAGTGCACACAAACTTTCAAGTCGGCTGCAGTTATTCAATTCTAGGCGTTTAAGACGAGAAAGATTGTAGATGCTTGCAGGTAACTTGACTAATTTATGGTTGCCACTTAAATATAATTCTTCCAAGGAGGAAAATGCATCAAGGTTTTGGGGAAAGCTTTTTTCGTGAATGTGTCTCCAGCTGAGGTCTAATTTTTTCAAAGAAGACAGACCTGTCAAAATTTTAAAACCAACAGATTTTTGTGGGCTTCCCGGATCACACATAAAACCTAGTAAAAGCTCTTCTAATATTTTCATGCTTCCAAGCCTCTTAGGAAAAAAATTCAGTTCCTTGCAGTTGTGAAGATGAAGACACTTAAGATCCTTTAACTCACAAATAGAGTCTGGTATGCTCTTAAGCTTCCAACAGTTTGTGAGATTCAAGAGGCTTAGGCTAGACAAATATCTTATTGATGAAGGCAATTCCTTTATTCTAGAACAAGAATAAAGATTTATTTGTGATAGTTTAATCATACATGGGGAGACTTCTGGGAATCTTTCAAGACTCTCACATCCAGAGAGAATTAGAGTCTCCAAGGATTCCATCTCAAGCCTTGATGGGAGACGCTTGAGCCCATTGCAACCATTCATGTTTAAGTAAACCAACCCTCTATGAGATCCAAGAGACTCATGAACCTCCTCCAATCCCCAACATTTTGACAAAGTTAACCTCTCGATATTTGGGGCCCCAGAGACATCTGGAAAATGATGTGAGTTTGCACAAGCTTTCGAGGTGAATGAATTTCAAGTTTGGTAGAATCTGACAAGCAAAACAGAAATTGAAAAATAAAATTAATATCGAGATCATCGAGAACACAATACAAATAGAACCATTTGTTTATCTGTAAATTCCCATGACTAAATAAATACCTTTCGGCCTTCCCATAAATGTTTGATGTCTGATCCATGTTCCATTTTAAGCCCAACAAGCTTACACATATCCCCCAATGGCAGAAACAAGAATGGGTAATCATTCCAACGAAGCCATCGCAACTCATCAGGAAGAAATGTAGGTTGGGTAGAAGTGAATTTCCCATCAATATCAAGTAGCCGAAGATTTTTCATGCGTCCAAAAACATCAGCACTTAAACCCAACTTTGCATCATAGTCTTCGACAAGGTATTCATTGTCCATCAACATTATGGCTTCAATTGCTTCTGGATTCTGTACCCATTCTAAAACATACATGAAAATCATAAAAGAAAACGATATTATAAAGATGGTGATTAGTTTTACCTTCTTTCCCTTGGCCAAATCATGGATTTGTTCAAGTTGCCATAGTCTGCTATCCAGGAATCTCTCACGAACTATTTGCCAACCCATTACCTGTATGAGATCATGCATGTCTAGCCTTTTATTTGATACGGTTATAAGAGATTTTTCTTCAAGAACTTTAATCCCGATTTTCGGGTGAAAACCAAAGCTATCGAGTACTCTACTTACATGTTCCTTGTCTTTTCCCTTGAAAAAACATGCAATGTCTAGGAATACTTTTTTCTCATAAACATCTAGCCCATCATAACTTAACTTTTAGTATGTCAAGAATCTTATCATCGGATACTTCGGCTAGTTTATCTAAAGCACTTTCCCAAACACATACCTCTCTTCCATGGAAGAATGCACCAAAAACTTCTAGGGCTAGAGGAAGGCCGCTAGCATAGTCTATTGCACGATATGAGAGCTCTTCATAACCTTTTGGAGGGCTATTTTCCCGAAAAGCATGCAAACAGAAGAGCTCAATAGCTTCATTCATATGTAAAATATCAGGTTTGTACTTGGCATTTGCACCTGATAGCAAATGCTCGTCTCTAGTGGTTATGATGATTCTACTTCCAGGACCAAACCAATGACGTCGACTTGCACTTAGGAACTTTAATTGCTCAACATCATCCACGTCATCAAGAACTAGAAGAACCTTATTTTTGCAAAATCGTTGATGTATCATGTAGGCTCCATCCTCAGGATCATTAACAAAAAACCGCTGACTTGTGTTTAGAATTTCACTTAGAACCCTTTCTTGTAAGGCACATATATCTCTTTTACTAGAACTATTTTCTCTAACATCTCTAACAAAGCTACTACACTCAAAATTATGGGCAATTCTTCGAAATAAAGCTTTGGCAATAGTTGTCTTACCAATTCCTCCCATTCCCAATATCCCTACAAAGTGCACCTCTTCTGTCATTTCCATACCCAATAATGAATATAATTCATTTATATGAGACTCGATACCAATTAGCTTTTTCTCCATGCCATGAGATTTTGTACCATATAAGATCTCCGCAACAATCTCTGTGATGACAGATGATTCGCCCCTAGCAAATTAATTACAATTGCTTAATTAAAATTAACCCATACTACATAGGTATAACAAACTGTTTTGAACAAAATCCCCATCATTTGTAACACAATAGTCTAATAGAACATTCGGAATTAAGTTCATAAGTCTTATAATAAGTAAATGAAGCAACGGATTTTGGAAAACTAACCCACTGCCTGTTTCCTTGACATGCCAGCCTGATAAACTGGCAGCTGCAGCTAAAGCTTTCCTCCACTTGTTCACTTGATCCATCTCTCCCCTAAACTTGTCATCGTGTTGCTGAAAAGCAGTATCGAAGTCTCTTTTCTGTTGGCGTACATCAGATGGGTCAATGTGATAGAACACCGGTAACACCATCAGTCCCATTTGATCTTTGCATTCCATGATTTTCACAAGCTCATCCAAACACCAAGAGGAGCCGGCATAATTTTTAGAGAAAACAACCACAGCAAACCTCGATTCTTTAATGGCTTCCAGCAGGTCTCGAGAGATTGCTTTCCCTTTATGAAGCGCCTTATCGTCTTTGAACACATGTAGTCCTCTTTGATCTAGAGCCGCATAAAGATGATCTATAAAGTTGTTGCGAGTATCTTCGCCTCTAAAGCTTAGGAACGCATCATGTGTCCATCTTAAAGTTGGTACAGACGATGATGAAGATGGGGACGACTTAAAAGACGCCATTGAAGGATTCAAGAAGCTGAAGAGGCCAAATGCAAACCACATAAAGAAGTAATGTCATCAGACTGTAATGTTCAATTATTGAGGAATATATTTTTCATGAATTATTTTCTGATAATTGGAATAGTACCACTACCACATACCCTAATTTTCACTGTGCACCCTCCAACTCTTATGCACTTGTTTCCCTGCGTTTATTTTTCTCTCAAGCTTAGGCCCAACCGCGTAATCCCTCAACCCTTGAAGTTTCTGAGCTTTGCGCATGTGGCCTTCAGCTTTTGTCTTGACTCCATGTACTATCTCATTTGTTAATTTAAATATTTTAGTTTGGTCCGACAATCAAATACCTTAAGTTGAAACAAATTTAAGATGCCAAATTTGTCAATCATTGACTATAGGGTTTTATAATTATATTTACAGAAAAATAAAAGGCAATTACATTTAAGTTATATCAAAGTTTATGGATTTTATCACTAAGACAAAATTTTCACTTATATTCCCTTTCATTTGCTTTTGTTACACTCGTAGTCCCAAAGATAGATGTGTTGTTAAGATGATGGTTGGAAAAGTTTAAACAATGAGTTTTTTTAATTTATTATTAATTTTCACACCCGTATATGTTAAAATCAATGTTTGAAGATAGATTTTTTCAAAATATTTTATAGATGTATCACATCGAAGATAAGTCATTTTGGGAAGTTAGTTGCCATAACTTATCAATTTTTTTTTTTTTTTTTTTTTTTTTTTTTTTTTTTTTTTGCAAAAACTCCACCTTGATACCACTGTAAAATAATAAGCTAACAAGTTAAAAAATGTTAATTAAGCACTCTCAAAAACCCCATAAATGAGTATAAAAATTACTTTCTTGACCTATATTTACATATTTCAATTTCCTTTTGAAAAACAAAAAGTTTTAATAAAAGGGCTAACGAGTGACTAGAGTTACATCGAGATCCAACATACCATAAGAGTAATTACACAATTTCAACCAATATATAGTACTCCCATTCATACTCCTAACCTTTAGCTAATTGTAAGTTAAGAGTAATGTCGTACTCAATGTTTTGGTCAAAAATCGATAAGCTAATTTTTGTAACAAAATTAGTAAGTGTAGTGTGATGTTTCGAATAAAATGTTTAACGGTGAAGTTCTTAAGATCTTAAAATATATCGAAGATCTTGGTCTAGCCCTAGATATTGGGAGGTGATCAAATCACTTGTCTTAGAACCTAGATTAATTGGAAATAGATTATAAGTGCTAGTTGATCGTGTATGTGGGAGTGGATCAACTAACCTTCTTATACATACACAATAAACTATCATAAAATCCAGGAATCTTCCTTGATCTTTGGTTGAACCGTTTATTTAGGAAGGACTTTAATGTTAATATGTTTTAACCATGTGTCTTTTGATTTGGTCCATCTCTTTTTGATCAAGTCCTCAGTTCATGTATATAAGATAAGAAAAGAACACGATGACGGTCCTAATATATTGACTAATTCCAAGATATTGGGCTACCCATGATGTTAGCATAAGTTCAAGATATGGAAAATGGAAAGGTTGAAATTCTACTCATAACAATTGCCTCCATAAATCTTCAATCCAGGATCCTAGAAGTTGGAGATTTCTAAAAAATAGTCGTTATGTGCTGAAGGGATGGGGTGACTTCAAATTCACATGAAATGATTTTGGTCAAAAATTAGTAAACTAATTTTGTAACCAAATTTGTAAGTGTGGTTTCATGTTTAAAATAAGATGTGTAAAACTACGATGCTTAAGATCTTGAAATATGTCAAAGATCTTGGAAAGAAAACAATAATATAAAGAGAAGTGATTGAAAGAATTGATTCGTTTCAAAATGTAAATAAGTGTATTTGAAGTATTTGGGACAAAAATAGTGTTAAAGTCATGAAATGAATGAATTTAGACAATTAATCTTAAGATATTGAAAAAGAGACAAGATATTGTAGAATATCTTAGTTGCTTCGATAATAAAATTAGTTAAACAATCAAAATAAGTGTGAGAAAATATTGTAATCGATCAAACAACAATTAGTATGTAAAAGTAAGTGTAAGAACACAATGATGTATGATGAAGCCCTTTCCTTTTTGGATCTCCGACATAAAACCTTGGATGTGACGAAATCACTTGCCTTAGAGCTTAAATTAATGAAAATAAAGTTACAAGTGCAAGCTGATCGTGTAGTAAGCGTAAAAGTGCTCAAGTGTTGAGAGAATGAAGGTGAAAGTAGAAGTAGGAATGTATCCATGAGTGAGGTCGAGGATCAACTAGGCTTTTTATACATGTGCATATTTTTGGTGGAATATAAGTAGGGTGATGGTGGAGAACCGGATTTCTGTTGGATCATGTAAGTTCACTTTCCGAACTAATATTTACACCCTATGTCTGGGTTATAGGAAATCCAGTCTAGGATAATCCAAAAGGACACTTGTGTATCTAAGAACAGAAACACAAGCCAAATCACCAGAGAGTTTTGAGTTTCTTGTAGAAGAAGAAGAGCTTAGAAGATTTCTATACGACTATATTAAGGAGACATATATATATATATATATATATATATATATATATATATATATATGACAAATTAGGGTTTCTGTCTTATAAATTAGTTAGGAGAATCACGAAGTTAGTGGCATAATCAATGGTTTCCAAAACTGGCGAGATTTGCCAATTTTACCATAACCACCTCCAGGGGCTCTGCCCCTTCCCCACTAGGGGCGCTGCTCCTAGGACCCTGCAAGGGGGCGCGTCCCCCTTGACCCCGACCATTTTTTCGAACCAGCTTATAGTTCGATTTTATATATTTATGTACTCCGCATTCACCAAACATATAATATAGAGTACAAATGATAAGCCCCTTAGCTCACGTGTTATTTCCAATTACATAAAATACCCGGTGGCACTAAACTCACCAATAATCCTCCCCTAGTTTAGTGCAACCCATGAACTAACATAAAATTATCTAAACAAACCAAACCAATACATAAATGAAAATATCGAAACTGTAACATCCTGTTTCCTATCATTTCTTATTTGAGGGCCGTGGGCCGAAGTTGATTGTACGCTTTGGGCCTTAAGGAGGTAAAGTTTAGTCCTTGTGGAAGGAGGTAATGATGGTTAAGAGATTTAACTATTGAACTGTGTATTGCGCCGAAGGGTAGTAAGGAAAAAGTCATTGGTTGGGTTCTTGTATAAAATATGGATTTTTTGTTTGAGAAGTTTTTAGTCCAAGGTATCTATATAATATTATTGGGCTCTTCAATACATTTACATGGATATAAAGATCGTCAAAAATGGAGTTGGAACGAAGAAGTTATGACTGTTAGAAATTTTGAAATTTTGAGTTAAGTTGAGTACGCTGGACGTACAGGGTGTACATTGGGCAATTCTAATCAAGGGCTAATCGTGGGGGATCAACCTAGTATACTGGGCGTACTAGGAGTACGATGAGCGTACACGATCAGAACCCAAACCCTAATTTCAGGGTTTTGAGCCCTATTTAACCTCCTTAACTTCCCCAAACCCTTATTTCTTTCACCCTCCATCCTCTCTAACCCTAATATCGAAATCCTAGCCCCATTTATGAGATCCTTGAGTTTTTTAGTGCTTTGGAGTGTTCTTGGTGCATCTTGGAGAAGAAGAAGACCATTGAAGATGTGTTGGTTGCATTATATGTTATGATTATGTGTTATGAGAATTGCAAGCTAGGATGATGCTAAGGATACTTTCAGGAACTGCATGATAGATTGGCCTGATATGTGATGCTTTGTAGCCTAGGAAGCATTGGATGTTATGCTAGATTGAGAATATGTATTGGTATCAGTAATTGCTAAGTGTATGCTTTAAAAGTTGTATATGATTATGATCATATAGCCCTAAAATGATTGATTTGGCCTTATTTCTTGTTCCTCGTTTGGTTGTGGTCCTAGGGTAGAGTCTTTTATTCGATAGTCTATTTGATCTTTTATTGCGTATAATTTGCATGCATAAGGCAACTGACAATGAGAGTAGAAGTTCCTAACATGAGTTGTAGTATGTGAGCTTGAATGTTCTTTGGTTATTCTATAGATTGGAGTGCTATTGCACGAATGTTGCTTGCTTTGTGCTTTGTGGAACTCTTAAGTGATGTGAGTTAGTTATTAAGTGAATATGTGAAGTCACATGTGAGAAAGGTTAAATAATCTCAAAGTGATGGATTTGACCCTATTGCGCAGCTCTTGTTTGAGTCTAAACGTTGTAGGGATGAGTCTTTTACTTGAAGGATTATCTGAGCTTTGTTGCATGTGATTGTATTCATGAGGTAGTTAACTAAAAATTATGGGGACTTCTTCAGCAGTTGATGACATGGTGAGATCGGAAACCTAGGAAAGCCTAGGAAATGCTTCAGTGGGTTTTGTTGCACTGTTTAGTGAGTGCTTGGAGTATCGGTTTGAGAAGGTGACTTGGAGGATTCAGGATGATTTTTGAGGAAAGTATGGATAGGTGTGGAAGGTAGTATTGGGCCCGTACTACTGAAAGCACAAGATCCATAATCGAATTGGGGATAGTCTTGGAGAATCTAGGAAGCATGTGGGATGAGGATTATTGGGTATGGTCTGATCATTTGCATGTTGTTTTTCAGTATGGTGATGAGAACCCACCAAAGAGGTTCAAGTTCTGGTTCCGGCGCAGGTGCAGGTAGTGAGCTGATTGACGAGCAGATGTGGGAGTTCATCTCGCAGGAGATTACATGCGGTATTTTGGAGCAGACTCCTGTGATCTTTGGTATGGTCAAGGAAGGGATTTTGGAGAGTTTGGACGAGCGTGTGGGCGCATTCCGTGCTGAGGTTATGGCTATTGTTGGAGCTCACACTCTTTCTTTCCGTGAGTTCCGTGCTTGTAGAGCTCCCACGTTCTTTGGGAGAGGGACCCCATTGCCAATAGGAGATGGTTAGCTGTAAGTCCCAAATCTGCTTGTGTATCAATCAGATCCGTTTGATGGCGCGGAATCCCAATCAAATGGATGATGCTAGATCAAAATAGAGAAGAAGGAGAAGAATAATAAT